CATTCCTGCAGTCCAGACACGTCGCTCCACATGTACCGATCGGTTGGCAACCCCCTGAGAACCGGAAGATCGCAAGAGCCTCAGAACAACTCAGTCCTACGGGCACTGACTTGAGACGCAAGCGCCGTTCCCTCAAGCTTAAAACTAGACTCCTGCAAGGCAAAGAATATTTCCCCACGAGACCTTGCACCCACTGGTTGTCTCGATTTAAACGGGGCCGGGTTCCCCAATGTGCCGGGTTCCCCACTCCGGGTTCCCCAGAGCAAACTAATTTATGCAGTAGCCAAATGGCTCGCTCACAACTTTACTGCCAGTAGCTCACAAAGTAGGATTTTTGCTCACAAGACTCCACACCTTAGAGGGAGCATTGCTCACAGGGTGTCTGTTGTGGGGAGGGGAAGGGAAAGGAGATTGTAAACCGCTCTGAGACTCCTTTGGGTAGTATAAAACAGCCCTTTATCAATAACCCCGTTGGGTTTGGATCTTTATTCATCATATGCTTCATCACCCAAATAGAGATGGGATGGAGTGAACTTTCTTACTACAGAAGGATACAGTCTTGGAGAGTATTCCATACCTTATGGGAAGGTTTTTTTCTACTATAGGATCTCTTCGTATTTTCTGTGTTGGAATGGACCCTTTTGATTTTTAATTTGTCGGTATTTGTACTAGAACCTTAGGTCTTTCTTTATGATATTTATATTTAAATTCAACACCATAAAATGTACTTAAATTTTTCATATATGAGTTAATTCATTATAATATAGTTCTGTACACGGTATAGCTTTCTTTATATATAGAGAGAGCCAGTCTGGTGTAGTGGTTAAGGGTTTGATTCCCCACTCCTCCACATGCAGCTGTTGGAGTGACCTTGGGTCAGTCACAAGTTCTCTCAGAGCTGTTCTCTCAGGAGCAGTTTCTGTCAGAGCTCTCTCAGCCCCGCCTACCTCACAGGGTGTCTGTTGTGGGGAAGGGAAGGGAAAGGAGATTGTAAGCCACTATGAGACTCCGAGTGAAGGGCGGGGTATAAATCCAATCTCTTCTTCTCTTTTCGTTTTCTCAAGTGTTTCTCAAAAGTGGGCAGGGCCAGGTGGGGCTATCGGCCACTGAAGATTTGATTGGCTGTACAGATTTGTAAAAACGCTGCTTTGGCCACAGCACAAGGGTTTTCAGGGTGTGACGGAGGGTAAGCGGCAGCGGCCATTTTGGGACTGGCTCCGCCTTCTGCAGCAGCCATTTTGGGGATGCGCCCACCACACTGTTTTCAGAATTCCAAAAATGACCACAGGTTCAAATGTTTGGGGCCCCCCAAAGTAGGATGACACCCACAGAAAGCAGGATGTCATGTTTCAAGTCAAGCTTTGTTCTCTAATAACTCTGATAAGCAAAGTTCTCCCCTATGTTGAAAGTTTTGTGTCAATGTGGCCCTCTTGTGGGGATATAAGGTTATTTACTAATCCCCACGAAGAAGTATCTGAAGAAGTGTGTGTGTGCAGGAAAGTTTAAACCATGAATAAAACTTTGTTGGTCTTAACTCAGTTCTGCTGCTTCAGACCAACGTGGCGGCCCCATCCAAATCCATGAAGAATATTCTAAGATTTTGCTACGTCCTTGATGCCATGAAATCACAGCTAACGTCTGGTGACCCTGTAGGGTTTTCAAGGCAAGAGGCATCCAGAGGTGGTTTGCCCAATGCCTTCCTCTGCATCACAACCCTGGTATTCGTTGGTGGTCTCCCATCCAAATACTAGCCAGGACTGCTTGGCTTCAGAGATCTGATGAGACTGGGCTAGCCTGGGCCATCCAGGTCAGGGCAAGAGAGGAACAGAGGTGGTTTTGCCATTCTCTGCCTCTGCACAGCAACCCTGGGCTTCCTTGGTAGGCTCCATCCAAGTACTAACCAGGGCTTGACCCTGCTTAGCTTCTGAGACCTGACAAGATTGGTCTAGCCTGGTCCATCCAGGTCAGGTCAAGAGTTGAACGGGGGTGGTTTTGCCACTGCCTGCCTCTGCGCAGCAACCCTGGACTTCCCTGGTGGTCTCCCATCCAAGTACTAACCAGGGCTGACCCTGCTTAGCTTCCGAAATCTGATGAGCTCGGGCTAGCCTGGGCTACCCAGATCAGGATTAGCCGCCGGAAAAAAGTTAACTACAACTCTGAAACTGCTCAACCTGGCTTGGATTTCAGCTGCATGTTAGGTTAGCAATACATTTTTATAAAAATGCGCTTTCAAAAAGAAGTGGAAATATTGCTACAGGACCGGGGGTGGGGGGTGGGGAGTAGTAGTGGCGAATCCTCCACCTCACACGTCACATCAGAAGTGTAACTTAAAGGGGGAGGTGCCACTGGCAAAAGCACAAGAGGCTAAGAAAGGTGTAAGGAAGAGAGCATAGAAGCCAGGCACTTGAAGTGTGAGGATCAGAGAAATCTCTCCAAATTTGATTTACTGAACTGAAGTACAAAGTGGGGAACCCACATATGCCTTCCCCAGCTCCTTTGAGAAAAAATGGGATGAAAATCTAAGGCAGTTATGATAGATAACCAGTCATTTTCACAAGGCGAAGCCACGAAACTCAGCCACTTTGCCAAGTCCCAACAATATGGGCTCTTACCAGGACCTTTGCCCATTGAACGCACATGAAGCTGCCTTATACTGAATCAGACCCACGGTCCATCAAGGTTAGTCTTGTTTACTCAGACTGGCAGTGGCTCTCCAGGGTCTCAGGCGGAGGTCTTTCCCATCACCTCCTGCCTGGTCCTTTTAACTGGAGATGCCGGAGATTGAACCTGGGACCTCCTGCATGCCAAGCAGAGGCTCTACCACTGAGCCACAGCCCCTCTTCACAGCTCTCCAGGGCCTCAGGCTGAGGTCTTTCACATCCCCTCCTGCCTGGTCCTTTTAACTGGAGATGCCGGAGATTGAACCTGGGACCTCCTGCATGCCAAGCAGAGGCTCTACCACTGAGCCACAGCCCCTCTTCACAGCTCTCCAGGGCCTCAGGCTGAGGTCTTTCACATCCCCTCCTGCCTGGTCCTTTTAACTGGAGATGCCGGAGATTGAACCTGGGACCTCCTGCATGCCAAGCAGAGGCTCTACCACTGAGCCACAGCCCCTCTTCACAGCTCTCCAGGGCCTCAGGCTGAGGTCTTTCACATCCCCTCCTGCCTGGTCCTTTTAACTGGAGATGCCGGAGATTGAACCTGGGACCTCCTGCATGCCAAGCAGAGGCTCTACCACTGAGCCACAGCCCCTCTTCACAGCTCTCCAGGGCCTCAGGCTGAGGTCTTTCACATCCCCTCCTGCCTGGTCCTTTTAACTGGAGATGCCGGGGACTGAACCTGGGATCTTCTGCACCCAAAGCAGATCCAAGGGGTCCTGGTTCCCAGCTAGGAAGCTGTCTATGGGATTCTTTATCTTCCATATTGGAAGAGCAGATCTTCCGATACTCTACTGAAAATATTATTTTATGCGGCGATTTTAATGCAAGAATAGATTCGGGGGATACTGAAGTTAAAGCAGGTTTGAATGCACAGATCGCAACACATGCCCACTTTCTCAACCGCTCAGCGAAAGATACAACTGTAAATAAGTTTGGCTTAAAATTCTTGGAACTTCTCTCAGCATTTAATTTACATGTACTTCATGGTACCTTTTTTGGATGGATCTAGAGGGTCCTTCGCCTTCTTTTCCACTTGTAGGATCATATAGCCATCTCTGCTTCCCTAATGAATTTGGTGGCTGGATCTGAGGTAGTGGACTCTTCCTTGTGTGATCACTGCCCACAACAGCTGACACTTAACATCAATCCCAAGAGTTTACTAATTCCAGACCAGGGCTTTGCTGAAGGCATTACATCTAGCCTTAGGAGGCTTAGATGGTCTGAACATTTATATAATGTATTAGACCAAGTCCTCAAAAGCCCAGAACTGACTGCATCGAGATCTACTCTATTACATCATGGTACTGATGCCATAAAGATTTTTGCTGAAATCAATGCACAACTTAAGCCACACTTTATAAACAATAGGCCTATAAAACCCTCTTCAACTGTAAAGAGTGGATGGTATGACCACGAGTGTAAAGAGCTCAAGAAGGTGCTAGTCCATACCATGAGACAAACTAGATATAATACAGACGAGGCATTATTGTCTCGCCTTTTACAATTAAGATCTCACTAACACTGAGCCATGGCCCATTGTCATATCCACCAGGATCTCAGGCAGAGGCATTTCATATCACCTGCTAGTAAAGGTAAAGGTTCCCTTGCTTGAAAGCCACTCGAATCCGACTCTAGGGTTGCGGTGCTCATCTCCGTTTCAAAGCCGAAGATTATAACTGGAGATGCTGGGGACTGAACCTGGGGCCTTCTGCATGCCAAGCAGATGCTCTACCACTGAGCCACAGCCCTTCTTTGCAGCTCTCCAGGGTCTCCGGCTGAGGTGACTGAACCTCCCAGGGTCTCCGGCAATGCTCTCTCTAAGCTGTGGAGTCTTGTGAGCAAAAATTCAACTTTGTGAGCCCCTGCCATTAAAGTTGTGAGCGAGCGATTTGGCTCCTGCAGAAATTAGTTTGCTCTGGAGCTGTCCTTCCTGAGCGAAGACAAAAATGTGTGAGCCGGAAGCTAAAAAAACTGTGAGCTAGCTCACACTAACTCATCTTAGTGGGAACACTGGTCTCCGGCTGAGATGACTGTTGCTGGGGATTGAAAATGGGACCTTCTGCATGTCAGGCAGATGCTCTACCACGGAGTCACAGCTCCTCCCTCTTACTCAAACGAGCTTAGGGTAACATATACGACCCCTCCCTCTTCCAACCATGATCATGGGAACAAGGGACAGGTCCACGGTCTTCCAGCGAGCTTCATGACCAAGCGGGTTTTTTTAACCCAGTGCAATCCTAAACAGAGTAAAGCCTTTTCTAAAACCACTGACTTTGGGAGGGTCCAACTCTGCTTAGCACCGAGCTGCCAAGCGCTCAATGAAAGTGTACAGAGCACATCTACCACATGACGAACACGGGCCGATCCTGCGTTGGACTAGATGGCCTCTATGGCCCCTCCCGCCTCTGTGATTCTATGATCCCGGGAATCTGGGATTGGGGGACACCCAAAATGGAGATGACCCCCCATCTGGTTGTTTTAGACATTCAACAGTGCTGCCAAACAACGCTAGAAAAATCTTGTCCATTGCAATGGATTTCACACAGGACGAATGTTCAGCGTTTCGCGTTCCCAGGGTCCCTCACCTGCTGCTGTAGCCAGTGACTGGATTCCATCGCTGATTCTCGTAGATGTAGACACTCTTCACGTCCGACTGGGCATGGATGTGATCGGCACCGTCCGCCAAGCCTGCAAGACCCAAACTGTTCATTAGCCCCTCTTTCCTACACCATTTCCAACTTCATGGTATGTTTTTAATTTGTTCGCTTGCACACTGCAAAGAGTTTTATTTATAGCCTGACTTTCTTGCCGAGACTCAAGGCAGATCACTCAATTTAGCAAGGCATTAGGAACAGGATAAGGCATATCATAAACATTCCACATTCTCCTTTTCCTCGCTTGTAAGTTCTGGTTTCATTTGGGGGTGTTTGTGTATCTGTTCTGCTTATGTTCTATTCCCTCTAGTGGTCAATACACCGGTTTCTGTCCAGCAGATCAAGTTTTTATGCTAAGACATAAACTGGCGTAATATCGTAATATCAAATCAGCCACGAGAAGACAGAGGAAACTACAAAGGATGAAAATGACAATGTGGAAAAAACCGAAAGTTAGGAAACGATACAACTGAAACAGGGCAAGACATAAGGAGTGAACAAACCGAAGCAACTCAAAAGGAATGTACACTGCCAATCAAATCTCCAGTGGCCAATAAGAAGCGTTGCTGAGCAAAAGGCGACCTGCCCTACACCCACTTTCTAGAAACACTTTGTGGGTACCAGGAAAGGGTACCAGGTTTGCTCCATGGTGCCTGCAGACACCCGGTTGGGGAACCCTGTTCTAGATTAATAACTGGAGCATCAGACTCCTTCGCTTAACTTGAGGGAGGGAGGAGCACGGAGAAAGAATTGTGCAACCAATTCACAAACTGAGGACAGGACTCAAAAGTGGGTTTTGATCTGGGGGGTCACTGGGGCCAGGAGGGAGAGGGAGAAGGAGAAGGAGGGAGGGAGAGGATAAGAAAGAAAGAAAGAAAGAAAGAAAGAAAGAAAGAAAGAAAGAAAGAAAGAAAGAAAGAAAGAAAGAAAGAAAGAAAGAAAGAAAGAAAGAAAGGGGAAAGAGAGAGGAAGAGGATAAAGAGAAAGAAGGAAGGGAGGGAGAAAGGGAGGGAGGAAGAGAGGAAGAGAGGGAGGAAGGAAGGAATGGAAGAAGGAAGAGAGGGAGGAAGGAAGGAAGGGAGGCAGGCAGGCAGGCAGGCAGGCAGGCAGGAAGGAAGGAAGGAAGGAAGGAAGGAAGGAAGGAAGGCTCATGGTGACTCCATCCACAGGGAGGGAGGGAGGGCGGAAGGGAGGAAGGAAGGAAGGGAGGGAGGGAGGAATAGAGGGAGGAAGGGAGGAAGGAAGGCTCATGGTGACCCCATCCACAGGGAGTGCCAAGCAAAAGATGAGCAGAGGTGGTTTGCTATTGCCTCCCTCTGCATAGCCACCCCAGTCTGCCTTGGTGGTCTCCCACCCGAGTCCTAAGTGAGGCTCACCCGCTGAGCTCCCAGTCTCTCATGACTTCGAGCTAAGCTGGGCTATTTGGTCCTGGAAGGTACGTTAAATTTAGCAGGAAGTCCCACTTTAAAAATATTTGAGAGACACTGAATTTTGTCACAGCAAAGGAGCCCAGATGCCAGACAGTGTCAAGGGGGCAGGTGGGTGGGAAATAAAATCAGTTACCTGAAAAGAAACCACCTCCGTAGCCTCCAGTATAAACCCAGGCGGTGTGGTCATACCCCACGCCCCACACTATTCCACGGCTGTTGGACTCGATCACTCGGAGATGTCCTCCAATTTGTCGCCAGAACCTACGAGAAGAAGAGAATCCACTAAATGCCCCCTCCCCAGGAAAGAACAAAGTCCAGAATAACAATCTCTCATAACAATCAAGTCTGGAATACTATGTAAGTTGGACCAAAATGTACTCTGAGGCATTTTGGTCCAACTTACATAGTAGCAACCCTTGTAGGTGCTTTCTAGAATTTAGGAGACCTGGCCCATATAAAACCTGAATGATTTTGTACCTGTTAAGAATCTGCTAAGAGACTTACAGTATTGGCTTATAGCTCCTGAGGAAGGACCTGGTCCGAAACACTAATTTATACCTAGGAAAAGTGTTGAAAAGTGGTGGACATCTGACTTCATTGTGGACATCTATTCCAAACTTGATTGTTTTGAGAGATTGTTACTCTGGACTTTGTTCTTTCCCTTTGGGATATTATGTATTTGTGTATTATTCTATGATGGATTACATGCATTACTTATTGTATTGAAGTCTCTTTTCTATTGCTCTTGGGTGGGTTGGTCAGTGCACAGTTGTTATTTATTGGTTTTTCTCGGTCATTGTTTACTGTGGACTGTATTGTTGTTTTTGTAGAGCTTCTGGCTGCCAGACAATCTTAGGATCTCCTGGCTATTCTACACACAATGCCCTATGGTAATTAATAAATTAGGCAACTTAAAAAAAAAACAACGAGGTGATTTTTAAAAATATATAACGCGTGATATTCTCCCTCTCCTCCCCCAAGAGAAGCACTTCTGGCTGCACGGAGAGCCACAGAATGAAGGGAGAACATTGCAGGCTTCGTACATCTGGTCGCAGGGCATGGGGCGGGTCACAGCCTCCAGGTCCGGTGTCGGCTCGCTGACAAAGATGTCTCCCTTGCAGGTCACAGACCAAATGGCCTGAGGAGACGGGGGTCCCTGGATCCGCCGGCTTTCACAACAGGACATGCTTAGCAGAGCCAGCTGTGGGGGATACACACAAAAAGAGAAGAAGTTTAGAAATGGGGGGCCCCCCGTTTTCTGATCTTCAAAGATCCGCCGGAATCACAGCTCCCGAATCGGTCTCTTCTGAACTCTTTTCCAGACGTTCCCCGACCTTACTGCCAACTGTTTGGCAGCATAAACAGGGCTCTTTTTGTAGCAGGAACTCCTTTGCATATTAGGCGACACACCCCTAATGTAGCCAATCCTCCAAGAGCTTACAGAGCTCTTCTTACAGGGGCTACATTAGGGGTGTGTCGCCTAATATGCAAAGGAGTTCCTGCTACACAAAGAGCCCTTCCCACATCACATCCAAAATGGTTTCATTTATACAATATTTGCCTGAAGGAGATTTTTCTACTATTGTTTTTAGAAGGAAGTCACCATTTGAGATGCCTTCTCCTTAGTGTTGTTTTGGGGAGGGGGATTTCTTTTTTCCGAAATGCAACTTCTGAGATACAGAACAAAGTTTGAGTCCAGTGGCACCTTTAAGACTAATGTAGTTTAATTCTGGGTACAAGCTTCCGTGTGCCCACTACTGAACTCGAATGTTCTACTGCTTCAGACCAACACAGCTACCCGCATGAATCTCTCTCTTTAGATACAGCCACTTATTCCTCTTGTTTTCTTTTTTTTTTCTCATCCAAAAGAAGGATTTCTCTTCCATTTCTCTTTCAAGAGAAATTTCTCTCGCAAAGAAAAGAAAAAGCTTCCACGAAACAAAGAAGTGGTGGAAAACAAAAATCTTCTTCCCACAGGACGGTTGGTGCAATTAATCCCTCTGCCCCAAAAGATGAATTTTAAAGACAAGTGGGTGGTTTTCAGAAGCAGCGGCACGGCGGACTCACCCAGTCATGCATTTCCTGTTCAGTGGTGGCCGCCAGTCGGATCGGCCAACGCTGCTTAGTCCTTTCCGGGGTGTAGAGCGCGAAGGAGTGCTTGGCCTCATTCAAGATCTCGACCAAGATGGTGACTTCATTGAGGAACACGTGGAGATACTGCAGAAAGACAGGGCACCAGCTCTCTGAGTAGGTAACTTTTTTAAAAATATATTTTATTGATACTTCAAGAATATACAGAAACAAAGTGAAATCATTGTAAATTACAAGTAGATCAGATATCAACTTATTGCGAAGATAGTATTGGCATGACAGCAATAACAGCAATAGCAGTGATGTAGTATTTCTTACCATCTTGTGAAATTCTAAGTTAAATAGCCAAGTACTCGAATATTCGTGTGTATTGTCTTACTTTCCTAATTAGTCTGTGGTGCTACATAGTACATGTACATTGTTTATGTGTATATTAATTCAAGGTAAGTTGAGTTATATGGACCATATTCGCTTCCATAGTTCTTCTGAGATTGTAGCTATGCAATTGGATTTGCAATTGACACAGAGAGTACTCCATCTTTCTGTGTTATACCTCTGAGGAAGCCAGTCACAGCTACTGGTGAAACATCAGGTTCTACAATGCCAAGACCACAGCCACACAACCCGGGAAATCTACAGCAACTAATAAACTGAATTTTTCTTTAAGGAACTTGGGTGTATCTATTGGGGGCCAGCTACCGGGAGCATATGACCCCGTTTCAACAGCAATTACATTGGCTATCGATCTGCTCCCAAGCCCAATTCAGGTGCTGTTTTTGTCCTTTAAAGTCTGACGTGGCTTGGGACTGGGGTATCCGAGAGACCGTCTTCTCCCATATGTTCCTGCCCAGGGATTAAGACTGCAGAGAGAGGCCCTCCTGAATGTCCCACCAATCGAAGAGGCTCATTTGGTGGTTACCCGAGAGACGGCCTTCTCGGTGGCAGCCCCATGATTAAGGAATGACCTCCCCAGGGAGGAGTGTCTGGCCTCCTTGTGGTCTTTACATTAATTTAGATCAGGGGTGTCAAACACACGGGTTTGATTCCCCACTCCTCCACTTGCACCTGCTGATGTGACCTTGGGTCAATCACAAGCTCTGGCACAGCTGTCCTTGAAAAAGAGCAGTTTCTGTCAGAGTTCTCTCAGCCCCACCCACCTCACAGGGTGTCTGTTGTGGGGAGGGGAAAGGAAAGGAGTTTGTAAGCCGCTCTGAGACTCCAAGTGAAGGGCGGGGTATGAATCCAATCTCTTCTTCTTCTTCTGCTTCTTCTTCCAGTTCTGCTGCTGCTGCATCATACTCAAGATTGCAACAGCACAGACATTTTGTTGCAATAATTCAGAGCAAGAGGTGTCAGCTATCAGACACTGTTAAATGAACAAAATATTGCAGAGAATGCTAATGTTTTAAGCACGTTGCTATTTTAAGTAAAAAAAAACACCTTTGCGTTTGTGTCCTTTATAAAGTTTATATCTCCACTACCTGGCATTACATTTTATGACACACGTGGCCCAGCCCAACGAGGTCTCATTTATGTCAGATCTGGCCCTCATAACAAATGAGTTTGACACCCCTAATTTAGATGGAAGAGCACCTACAGTGTTAGGCTACACGTATCCATCATGAATAAAAAAAAATAAGGCAGTTTGGAGATACTGTTGGACAATAAGACAGTTTGGAGGCATTATTGGCAGAGAAGTTCCTGTTGCTGTGCCTCTTTGGGAGTTCCCGTTGATGTGCAGTCCTGACGAAGGGATCGAAAACTCATTGAATAATCTGGAGGATGAGCTGACTGCATCTTATTTCTTAGTGTTTGTCTCAAGTCCTAAGGACTGGATCTACTTGCTGATTGCAGCGTCCTTTACATTGTTAAGAAGTGGATGTACTTGGCTTTATGGACATTTGAAGCTCATGTGTTTTCAGTCCATTGAAATTGGCATTTGTGAAGTCTTTCTTTTGGGAGTGTTAAATAGTAAATGGTAGATATTGCTTTAAATCCCTAGCCTATCCATTGTATTTTTTTGTATTTCTTGTATTTCATATTATTGTATATTTGAGAAATATTTGGCGCCTTACTTGATGTTAAGTCATACAAGGCCGATCTTCAGGAGGCAGTCGAAGAAAAGTTTTATTTAAAACCAGGGGTCATTTCGTAGAAAAAGAGGTGCAGGCGCTCATTAGCATAACTTATTAGCATACCTTATTTGCATATGCCACGCCCCCTGACATCACCGGAAGTGTGTCAGAAGGCAACACCCACCGCTCAGGCTCCACTGGACTGTTTCGGATTGCTAGCTATTGGGGGGGGGAACATGCACATCTTTCCTCACAGAGGAGGGAGAGCTTGTACCTGAAGGCGGGAAGGGGGGGCTATGCAGCTCACCTGGCTGCTTTTTGCTCCTTGTGGCCTGACTGAAGGCTGCTGGGAGCAGGGGGCAGGGCTTGTTGCATGTGCCCGCCCCCTGGGCTCTTTACTGCCGGAGCTCCGCTCCTGTGCGCTCCCGCAGGAAATGACCCCTGTTTAAAACTGCATTTGACTGATTCGGTTGGCGTTCTTAAATCGTGGCCTTTTATGTGTTTTTGTAACAGTTACTTTGTTCAAATTGTTGCTGTTTTTTTTAAATGATCACTATTTATATCATAAGCCACCTTGACTTCCACAGGGGAGAAAGACCACTAATAAAGGTATTGAACAAATAAATATTCAAGGAGCGAGACGAAATGGGACGGCCCAGTGAACCTCTGTCCGTCCAGAGTGCTCCTTACTCGAAGGGGCTTAATCAGTATCACAGAATTGGAAGGGGCTGTAGAGGTCACCTAGTCCAACCCCCTTCTCAATGCAGGATCAGCCTAGAGCATCCCTGACAAGGGTTTGTCCAGCCGCTGCTTAAAGATGGCCAGGGAGGGGGAGCTCACCACCTCCCCAGGCAGCTGATTCCACTCTTGCACAACTCTTACTGCAAAAAAGTTTTCCCTAAGATCCAGCCGGTACCTTCCTGCCCTTAATTTAAACCCATTCTTGTGAGTCCTCTCCTCTGCTACCAACAGGAACCACCCTCTGTCCTCCTCTAAGTGACAGCCCTTCAAATACTTAAAGAGGGCAATCATGTCCTCCCTCAGCCTTTCCTCGTAGGGCTTGGTCTCCAGGCCCCCGATCATCCTCGCTGCTGTCCTCTGCACTGGCTCCATTCTGTCCACATCCTTTTGGAAGTGAGGCCTCCAGAACTGCACACAAGACTCCAGGTGTGGCCTGACCAATGCAGTGTACAGTGGGACTATGACATTTTGCGATTTGGATGTTATTCCTCTGTTAATACATTCCAAGATCGCAGTAGCCTTTTTTGTCGCTGCATCATGCTGGCTGCTCATATTTAACTTTTGGTCCACCTGTATCACAAGATCTTGTTCACACACACTGCCACTCCCGCCCTTAATTTAAATCCACTGTCGGAAGTCCTCTCCTCTGCTGCCAACAGGAATGCTAGCTGCTCATATTTAACTTTCGGTCCACCTTTATCCCAAGATCTTGTTCACACACACTCCCACCCTTAATTTAAACCCACTGTCGGAAGTCCTCTCCTCTGCTGCTCACAGGAACCGCTCCCTGCCCTCCTCTAAGTGACAGCCCTTCAAATACACCAAGAAAGCCATCCTGTCCCCCCTCAACCTCCTCTTCTCCAGACTGAACATTCCCAAGTCCCTCAGCCTCTCCTCATGGGGCTTCTTGATCTCCAGGCCCCCGATCATCCTGGTCGCTCTCCTCTGGACCTGCTCAACTCTGTCCACATCCTTTTGGAAGGGAGGCCTCCAGAACTGCACACAGCACTTCAGCTGCGGACTGACTAATGTGGGGTACAGCAGGACTATCACATCAGCATAACTCTACCCTCCTGTTTAAAAACTTAGGGAAGATCAACCAACTTGGGGGGTGGAGGGGTGGAATAACCACTGAAGCACAGAAGAGAACCAGCTACCACACAAAAGCTAACCACCCAGAGTCTGGAAAATATAGTACATTTCCCTTGCAGAGAATCAAACAAAACGTCTCTAGAGGTGGCACCATTCTCGGAACGTGCCTTCTTCTCCTCCATCTGCACGTAATAGATGAAGAGGATGCTGTCTCGCATCCCGTCATTTCCTGTGAACTGCTCGAGGGCCACCCGGACGTCGATCCACTTATAAGGCTTCCAGGTTCTCCACCACTGTAGGGTGCCTGTTTTGACCCACACCGACTACAGAGGTAGGGGAGAAAAAACACACACAAAACAAAGCAAAGCAGCATTTTAGGTGGAGAAGCCGGGAAACAGCAACACAACCCCCCATCCTGGGTTCCAGGCCGTCTCTCTTTCCCACGCCACACAAGAGAAACTGGTCCTGAGGTTTTACCCTGAAAGCAGGGGTCCACAATTTTTTGTAGCCTGCAACCCCTTTTGGACTTCTGTCACAGAATGGATGCCACTGGACTGGAGGCAGAGACACAAAACGGATGCCCCTGGGGGCGGAGCCGGCCATGATTTGATTACTGCAGCTTACTTTCTGTCACACAGTGAAGATCCTTGTGCTGTGGTGGCAGCTGTTGCCAAAACATTATTAGAAATGTGCACAGCAAATCAGAAGCCTTGCCCTGCCTGGCCCCACCCATTTTTTAAAAACTCTTGCTGGGTGTCAGAAGAGGTATAGTCGGGCGCCATGGTGCCCATGGGCATAACGTTGGAGACCCCTGCCCTAAGGTTTCTCAGGCAGATGAGGAAGGAGGCAAGCATGCCTGCTGGAGTAATCAAGCTCTTGCGTTTGGGTCCGAAGCCCAAGGATCAGCAGGGAAGAATCTCGCACACAGGATCAAGCGGGAGCTCAACGTCTATCTGTTCACAGCTCAACTGCTTCCTGTTTCCGTCAGAGGTCAGCTTAATGTGGCTGATTTAATTTCTGAAAGGACCTGGGTTTTCACCTGCCCTACCTCTGAAACACGTCAAAGGAAAACCAGAACAAGACCAAGCGCTGAAATTACTTGATGGGAAGAAGACAGTTTTGGAGGAAAGATGATTTTCCCTACTTGGCCTAAAATTCTTCCTTCCAGATGGTGCTACTTTTCTCTTTTTCTTTATATATATATTTTTTTATTTTACAAAGGGAAAAGTGAGAAGCGGAAAACATCATTTGTTAAATACAGTTTAAGGACATTGCATAATACAAGAATACAAAACATTAAAAAGTATTGTAACAAATACAGTAAGATAATCAATACTTCAATATGACACATTTCCGTGTATATTTCCAGGAAAGCATATAAGCAAGAAACATAAAAAAGAAAAGAGCAGAAAGCCCCCCTTCACGTTTTTCTTATCTTTATACAAGGTTTATACTATCATATAATAACTAGTAAATATGTAACTATAAAAGATTAACGAGTATAACTACGAGAATATGATTATACAATTTGAGCATTAATCAATTTAAATTTCTTCATAGCTCCTCTAACAGCTTTATCTAACCTATGTAGTTTGTCGGTAGTAATTACAAAAGGCTCTTCGCCAAGGCTCCCTCTAAGCTGTGGAGTCTTGTGAGCAAAAATCCTACTTTGTGAGCTACTGGCATTAAAGTTGTGAGCGATTTGGCTATTGCATAAATTAGCTTGCTCTGGAGCCATCCCTTCCTGAGCTAAGACAAAAAAGTGTGAGTCGGAGGCTAAAAAACTGTGAGCTAGCTCACACTAACTCAGAGCGCTGGCTCTTCGGCTTGTAAACAGAGATGAGCACCGCCCCCTAGAGTCAGACTCTACTGGCTTTCAAGCAAGGGAAACCTTCACTTTACCTTGCAGGATCACCATATATGGTAAATGGTACCATCCATCTCTTTACATTTCCAGCACTAGTGCTACTTTTCTCTTGGCTCCTTAAAATCCCACTTTTTAAAAGCCTTTGGGCTCGACAGGAAGGGACAGTGTCTCAGTGGTAGAGCATCTGCTTGGCATGTAGAAGGTTCCCAGGGGTTCAACCCCCAGCAACTCCAGTTAAGAACCAGGCAGTAGATTATGTGAAAGTGTTCTGCCTGAGACCCTGGAGAGCTGCTGCCAGTCTGAATGGGCAATAATGACCATGACGGACCGAGGGTCTGATTCAGTATTAGGCAGCTTCATGTGTTCATGCAGAAGGCTTTGGGTTCAACTTCCAGCGTCTCCAGTGAAAAGGACCAGGCAGGAGGTGATGGGAAAGACCTTCGCCTGGAGAGCTGTGAAGAGGGGCTGTGGCTCAGTGGCAGAACCTCTGCTTGATATGAAGAAGGTCCCAGGTTCAATCCCCGGCAGCATCTCCAGTTAAAAAGGACCAGGCAGGAGGTGATGGGAAAGACCTCAGTCTGACACCCTAGAGAGCTGTAAAGAGGGGCTGTGGCTCAGTGGAAGAGCCTCTGCTTGGCATGCAGAAGGTCCCAGGTTCAATTCCAGGCAGCATCTCCAGTTAAAAAGGACCAGGCAGGAGGTGATGGGAAAGACCTCTGCCTGAGACCCTGGAGAGCAGCTGCCAGTCTGAGTAGACAATACTGACCATGATGGACTGAGGGTCTGATTCTGTGTCAGGCAGCTTCCATTTTAAATTTCCACAAGCCGCCTTTGTCAGACAAAGAGGCAGGGGAAAACTCTTTTTTAAACATTGGAACACTGCCTGTTGTTGCTAGTGTTACACGGTCCCTGCTGAAATATCGTTTTTTCATACACTGAGATATTATTGCTTTTAAAGCTGTCAACAAAGGAAATAGCTGCTTTTATCAGACACCTTTCATGGGTGGGGAATTTAAGGCAACAGAACAAAATTTAAAGCACAAATAACATTTAAAAAATCACACCACATGATATTATTGCTTCTAAAGCTGTCAACAAAATAAATAGCTGAACATACAAACACAAAATGACTGCTTTTATCAGACACCTTTCGTGGGTGGGGAATTTAAGGCAACAGAACAAAATTTAAAGCACAAATAACATTTAAAAAATCACACCACAAAACCCATACAACAGTTAAAAAGTAAATATACAAACAGTACTATTAAAAAGGCGCAAGAGTGTGGAGAGGGGAATATTTAGGCTGCCCAAAGACTCTTCTGAATTCAATAGTCAACCTGGGACCACAGAGTGTCATAAAACTGCAGAGTCCTGGGTTCAAATCCATGCAGCTCTGTGGGTGACTGGGGAGTTAGCCACACACAGTCTTACCTACCTCTGAAGGATGTACCTTACATGACCATGTTGGAGGAATGGAGAGACATAAATATAATGTAGACAGACAGACATCTTTTTCGAAACTGGAATGGAAGGGCACTTCTCACCTGCTCAACAGCCTGTTCATAGTGTCGGAAGTTCTCCAACTCCCGCCGGGTTCTTTCCGCAAGCTGCTGGAAGATCTGCTTGCGCCACGCCGCAGTCTGTGCTGGGGTGATGGACAGGCAGAGGGACTGCCCTGAGGAGGATAAGCCTGGAGAGCCAAAAAGGAGGAGCGTGTGGTCAGAAATTCAAGTAATGTGGCGGAACTACCCGGAGCAGTGGTGGAAATGCAAGTAGCCATTGCTCGGGACAAAAAGCTGTATTTATTGAGTGGAATCCCACTGTGTGTCTGTGGAACTCAGGACAGTGTACATGGTCTCTTCCCTGGCCATTTTATCCTCACAACCACTTTGTGCAGTAGGTTGGACAGAGTGCATGACCGGCCCAGGGTCACCATCAATGCTCCCTCTAAGCTGTGGCATCTTGTGAACAAAAATTCTACTTGGTGAGCTACTGGCATTCAAGTTGTGAGTGAACGATTTGGCTGCTGCATAAATTAGTTTGCTCTGGAGCCATCCTTCCTGAGCTAAGACAAAAATCTGTGAGCCGGAGGCTAAAAAACTGTGAGCTGGCTCACACTAACTCAGCTTAGAGGGAACACTGGTCACCATTTAAGGTTCACGGGAGTGTGCGGGAATTTGAATCCTGGTCTCCCGCGGTCCAGTCCAGCTTTATGACCACTGTACCATACTGTTGTGCAAAAAACAGACTTGCTGCTGGTCCCAGGAGACAATATTAGATAGACGGACCAAAGATCTGACTCGGTATACAGCCCAGGACCCACAAAACTATTTTATACTGGACCAGGCCCTTACAGTATCATCTACACCAGAGGTCCCTAACTCGGTGCCCATGGGCATCATAGGGCCCGCCCACACGTTTTCTGCTGCCCACCAAGTGCTTTCAGAAAGTGGGGGGGGGGGCATGTGAGGCTGCTACCCAATAGGGCTTCTGATTGGCTGTGGAGATTAAAAGAATGCTGCTTTGGCAGCAGCTGTCAGAACAGTATTGGTTACATTCTCTCTCTCACACTCCTCTTTCCCAGGGTAATTTTTAAAAACTTTCCCTCTTTTCACCTCCTGTGGCAGCCTTTTTGTGGCTGACTCAGCCTCTTCCGACAGCCATTTTGTGGTTGATTTAGTCCTGTGGCAGCCATTTTGTGACTGACTCAGCCTCCTGTGGCAGCCATTCTGTGGTTTATTCCTAGGGTTGCCAGCTCCGGGTTGGGAAATGCCTGGAGTTTTGGGGGGTGGAGCCTGAGGAGGGTGGGTTTTGGGGCATAATGACATAGAGTCCAACTTCCAAAGTGGCCATTTTCTCTAGGTGAACTGATCTCTGTCACCTGGAGATCAGTTGTAGCAGTCATCATCTGGAGGTTGGCAACCCTATTGGCTCAGTCTCTCATGGCAGCCATTTTGTGGTTGACAGCCTCCCGTAGCATCCATTTTATGGTTGATTCAGCCTCCTAATGTAGCCACTTTGTGGCTGCGCCCATTGCCCCATGTCATAAGGTGACTACAGGCTCAAAAAGGTTGGGGACCCCTGGTCTACTTGGAAGGGCAGGGTAGAAATGTTACAAGCAAACAGAATTAAAAAAAAACTAGAATAAAAATCAAAAAGCCATCTCCACATACCTGACTGTATCGTGAACCACTTCAGTGAGGTGTGCAATTCCACCAGGCAGCCTCCGCCGGAGACCCAGCCCCACAACGGATGCTCGTCGGCCCCATAACGATCCTCCACACCGAGCGGCAACGTGCCCAAGGAGGACAGGCTGGACGTCTCTGCCAAAGCGCTGGCAGAAAGTGCTGGGCTCCTGCCAGCCTCCTTCAAGTCAATGTTTGTCCACTGGAGTTCTGCTGGGCGGGACTCCTGATCCGAGGAAGGTTCTTCCGGGTCAGCGCTGAGCTTTTGTTCTGAAACAGAGCCGGCTTCTTCAGGAGGGGCGGGGGCAGGATCCGCAATTGGGTCTGCCTGGGAGCTCGCTGCCTGGTCGGCGTCATCGTTTCCGTCACCACCGTCGGTATTGCTAGGAAGGCAAGTGTCGGCGATGGCCAAGGGCCCCTCAGTGTCCGACAGAAGATCTCCATCACTCTGGAAGACTGACCCGCTTTGCTCCTTGATATTATCAGTGAAAAAGCATCCAGCGCTTGGGGGAGGGGGAAGAAAAGAAGGAAAACCTTATATTGAATCTAAGGCCTTAGATATGTGGAGGAGAAACTCTCTACAATGGGAATATCCCCGGATTATTTAGCCCCCTTTTCAGATAAACAAGCCTATGCTATTCTTAAACAAAGATTTCTCGACATCGAAAGGCAAGAATTTAGGGAATGCGCAGCCAGCAGATACTCCCCAAATAGGCTGGGGACTTTTGACACGGGCCCTACTGCAAAATATCTGTTAAGTTTAACAGCCCCACACGATTACCTGCTTGCACGCTTTAATGTTCTGCCATTGGAGGTGCTTTTAGGGAGTTACCGCCAGATACCATATGTAGACAAACTTTGTCCTTGCTCTCTAAAAGATACAGAATCCACGACACACACCATACTTCATTGCCCCCTCTATAGGGATATCCGATCTCGTTTTATTAGTCCACTTCTAGAAGGTAAGCGCTGGCATTCTGATGACTCAATTGTTCACTTTCTTCTGTTTAATTCTAATTGCGAAATAATGGAGGCTGTGGCAAAAATGTTATATTATGCAATCAGAAGACGAGGCTTGAATAGCCAAGTGTGAGTGACGGATGCATCTCATCTTAATATTTTGCTATATTTCCATGATGTCTTGTGCTTTCAATGCCAATAAGGGTTTTTTGTGTGTGTGAATCTAAGGCCATTATGATTCTGGGAAGCATTCTTTATATCTCGTATTTATAGTCTGTCTTCCTTCTGTGACGGAATCCAAGGGGGCTTTCATCCCAGAAAGCCTTTCTATCCAGACACGGGCTAGATCTACATCAGCTTAACTTCAGTAAAAGTGCTGTACGCTAAGCCCTTTTTAACAGGGTATGATTGAGAGAGCTATCCTCGGGTATGTTTATTTTTACTTTTTGAGTCACAGAATGTTCACAATCATTCCAATCTGTGGGCGACAGAAGATAAAGCTGACAACAGCACAGTTGCTCTGAGGGAAGTGAAAGGTCAGCATGGCTGGAGGGAGGGTGGAAGAAAAGTCACACAAGCGGAATGGTCGGCCGGACCAGAAAAAAGACAGCCACAGAAAGGCTGGGAGGGGAAAGCTCCAGTGGATCTGAACATTCCTGAAAAGCGAGTGAGACATAGCAGGCGTTGATAGAGTCGTTGGAATTAATATGCAAATAAACAAAGCACAGACTCTTTGCACCCAACACATGAATGCTAGACCTAACCCCCCCCCAAAAAAGATGGCAGTACTGTAGGGGCTCATGATCTAGCGGGGAGGGGGAGTTCTAGACCACTGCACCCAAAAATTGCAGTCATGTTTCCGCTAAAGAATTATCGGGCGACACAGATCCTTCTTGATGTGCTTCCCCCAGCAACCCTTGGCTTGACGGCATTTCATGGGTACCTGAGGAGACTCGTTGAGCTTCCGCTCTGAGAATGATCAGTATCTCGGCCGCAAACTATCGCCTTCCAGGCTTTCCCGCTCAGCTCGCTTGGAGTGACTCCTTGCCGGAAATAAACTGCTCGGTCCTCACAGCTGATCCCCCACACCTAAGTGAGGCAAAGATAAGACAGGTTGGCCGAACACTCTCCTCTTCCTTGTGCTTTCAATGCCAATAAGGGTTTTGTGTGTGTGTGAATCTAAGGCCATTATGATTCTGGGAAGCGTTCTTTATATCTCATATTTATAGTCTGTCTTCCTTCTGTAACGGAATCCAAGGGGGCTTACATCCCAGAAAGCCTTCCTATCCAGACACGGGCTAGATCTACATCAGCTTAACTTCAGTAAAAGTGCTGTACGCTAAGCCCTTCTTAACAGGGTATGATTGAGAGAGCTATCCTCGGGTATGTTTATTTTTACTTTTTGAGTCACAGAATGTTCACAAACATTCCAATCTGTGGGCGGCAGAAGATAAAGCTGACTAACAGCACAGTTGCTCTGAGGGAAGTGAAAGGTCAGCATGACTGGAGGGAGGGTGGAAGAAAAGTCACACAAGCGGAATGGTCGGCTGTCGACCAGAAAAAGGACAGCCACAGAAAAGCTGGGAGGGGAAAGCTCCAGTGGATCTGAACATTCCGGAAAAGCGAGTGAGACATAGCAGGCGTTGATAGAGTCGTTGGAATTAATATGCAAATAAACAAAGCACAGACTCTTTGCACCCAACACATGAATGCTAGACCTAACCCCCCAAAAAGATGGCAGTACTGTAGGGGCTCATGATCTAGCGGGGAGGGGGAGTTCTAGACCACTGCACCCAAAAATTGCAGTCATGTTTCCGCTAAAGAATTATCGGGCGACACAGATCCTTCTTGATGTGCTTCCCCCAGCAACCCTTGGCTTGACGGCATTTCATGGGTACCTGAGGAGACTCGTTGAGCTTCCGCTCTGAGAATGATCAGTATCTCGGCCGCAAACTATCGCCTTCCAGGCTTTCCCGCTCAGCTCGCTTGGAGTGACTCCTTGCCGGAAATAAACTGCTCGGTCCTCACAGCTGATCCCCCACACCTAAGTGAGGCAAAGATAAGACAGGTTGGCCGAACACTCTCCTCTTCCGAAGGATAAAAGCCAGCCACTGCAAGGGTTACAGGGTCAGTTCTGCAGACGTGCTGGTTTGTGACATGGAGGGAATTTTTTTTTTGTACGAAGACGCATTATCATGTGGATAATCCTCTCATCCTCAGGGATCACAGTGTTAGGAAGATATGGAAAAATATATGACACTGTGTATAATAGAGTATGCTTAAGGTAGATCTATTCTGTGCTTTTTATTTTTTAAAAAAGTCTACACTATTATATAAATACTGGTGTCAAGTATTACCAAATAGAGGTTCACCAAAACGATACATCAAAGTGCAGGTTTACACTACGTTCAAACATTCATACAGCACCTCATCAGTTTCACAATCACTAGTCCCATGGGACTCTAGTAATTTACCTGTATCGAATACAGTCTTTTTCAAGGACAGTGATATACATGCAAGACATAAGGGACAATGAATCCTCTTTGTGAGTATAAAACTCTTAAGATAGCAGCATTTTTCTATGGCCCCACTGGAACCCTTGCAGCAAACATAACAACATATCTCTCAAGTTCTACTAGGCAGCCAGAATAGGCAGATCACTGACCAACAAGGAATAGATCACCAACAAGTAATAGGCAGATCACTCCGATTGGTCGTTGGAGATTTGATTGGCTGCACCTCACAGATTTAAAAAAAACACTATCGCTTTGGCGGCAGCTGCCACCACAACACAAGGATGTTCATTGTGTGTAAGCAAGTAAGTAGATGCTGGGGCAAGTGAGCAGAGGTCCATCAGTGGCTATTAGCCACAAGGTATAGATAGGGGCTCTGGGGCAAGTGATGCTCTGTCTTCTTGGTGCTTGACCACAAATTTTCTTAGTCTTTAAGGTGCTCCTGGACTCTTGCTCTTTTCTACCACAAGAACAGAAGAAGGGAGAATCATGTTCATCACCCCAAGCTTTTTGGTATGTTGTTGATGATAGAAAGTTGTCACCCAGTCGCAGCCAACTTATGGAGACCCCGGGGGGGTTAACAAGGCAAGAGACAAACAGAGGAGGTCTGCCATTGCCTGCCTCCGCGTAGCCACCCTAAACTTCCTTGGCAGTCTCCCATCCAAGTACTAACCCGGGCCACCCTACTTAGCTTCCAAGATGTGACGAGATCGGTC